TCTCTGTAACTTTTATTTTTTGTTTCTGGTAAATTGTAATATAGATAGATAAATGATCCTATCATTGGAAAAACGGAAAGAATTAAATACGCCACCGATTGACCAAGTGCAGTTGCCATTGGTAAGAATATAGCCAAAACAATTGTGCGGCTAGAAATTGTAAACTAACATTTATTATTACTTCTACCAAAAATATGTTGATTACTGACTATGGTCTGAGTAACAATTTCATGAAACTTTTAATTTTACTGTTTTTTAGATGTTTTATTTCAAACCAAAAGCTGTTATCAAATGAAGGACTTTTGTAAACTTTATACCTGGCCATTTGTGATAATGTTGCTGCCGCTTGAGCTATACCTCGAGCTGCTATACAAACCATTTCGGCACTGATATAAAAGCATAATGGTGCTATACCTATGGCGAAGAAGAATTGTGACAATGCAACTGTTACAATTAAACAATAGCCAAGCCAAATTAGCTAAAGACGAAGAAAAAAAATCAGTTAGTATTGATAAAATAAAACGGCTGAAACAGATAATTTTTCTAACAAAATTTACTGATTACTTAAAACAGTTCAATATTTTTACCCCATATTTTTCGAAGAAAAACATGAACAAAAATATCATAATGTTGAAGACGATGATAGATCCGTTGGACAACAGTATTAGTGGTCGTCTACCAAGTCGGTCGATAAGAAAAATAGAAATTACAGTCGATACCTAAATAAAGTTTTAGAAAAAAAAAGTATGTATACCTGTAGAATATGAATTAACTAACTTCTTTTCATCAATAAACGTATTTTAACCAAAAAAAATCATTATTAAAACTCTGTTGCTGAAAAGAGGTAATATAGTATTACCACCAAAACAAGTGTCAATCCAACATTTCCAATGGCAGCTTCTTGAGGTGTTAAACCAGTTGCAGCAAGTATTGCAACAGCAAATGCATTCATCACTAAAATTGACGCATATCAAATAAACGTAGAGAAGAAACGTTTGAAAGGTTTTTTTTTCTATAAGGAACGACAAGACAATTTTTTATCAACAATTGGTTTTTTTTTTGAATTATTTAACGTTTTATAAATCTAAAAAAAAAAGAAGAAAAGACAGGTTATTCTAAATCAGACGTGAATTTCCACTGAAGCAACAGGCACTGGAAATTACAATTCCAACAATAGTTCCTTTACAAGCGTATTCATCTTTGACCACATCAATGACTGTCATTTTGTCTACGCTTATTTTCAAGTTTTCTTTTACTTCATCCAATAAATCTTCGACCATATCTGATCCACACTGATGGAAAAACATAATTGCTTTTCTTGCTCCATCTTCATCGCCCAAAATTAGCAAGTAACTAAAAAACAAAAAAACGTTACGAATGATAAGACATTTTTGACTGTACTTCTGTTTATGCATAGACTAATTTAGTCAAACAAAAAAAAGATTTGAAATACAAAAAAGAAAAAAAGTAGACTGTTATTTTGTATTTTTACCTTGGACTTTCTGGTATAAAGGGCATAACAGCTAACACCAATACAATAATTATTGTTTCTGTAAGAAACAAATACCACCAAAGATAATGGGTACCAAGAATTGGTGGCATACCAATAATTACTGCCAGTACTCCTCCAGCACTGGAGAATAGGCACGTCATTGAGCTTACCGCTCCACGACATTCTTTTGGGCTGAAAGAGTGCTAATTTTCTCTTGTTATATTTACTGATGTCGTCAAAAATCAGAGAAAACGGCAGGAAATTATAGAAAGTGACGTTATAATTCGATGATGATAACGGTAATATTTTTGATAAACATTGAAGAAAACCTGCTTTCACTGAGGAATATAGCGGCAAGTCCTAAGCTTAGACTGATTGCAAAACCAATAAGTATTCTTGCAATTATGTAAAGCTCAAATGAATGTATCTGAAAAAAAAAAA